GAAAGCTCGGTAAAGGATTAAATTGCAGCTCAAACAATATTGCAACATAGGGATTCCCTATTTAGCCTCTATAAAAGTACAAGTATTGTTGTTTTGTTGTTGATTTAGAATTTATCGACGCTCATTCAATTTGGTTTGATCAATTGATCACTCCTACAGAAAAACGTTGCGCAAATAAAGGCGGATTCCAAAACAGGTTTTCAAATTCTCTGGAGCGCAACTCATTATGCTCCTTCAACTCATAAACGTTCCCTTGTAAAAAAGGCTCCCCCTCCCCATTCCCCACAAAGTGTCAGTGAGAATCAATCACTTTTTCCGAGGTCCTAACTAACGGAATACTGATGGAACAGTCATTTTAACTCAAATGAGACTGCAAAAAAAACCTCCAAACCGACAGCCTTCTATGCCTACAAATGTGCATAAAGCAAAGAATTCGTGAAAACAAAGCAATATAACAAATACAAACAGTGTAAGCTACGATGAGCCGTAACGTTCACGTCATATCACCCATCAAAGGTGAAATTGAAAGTACAATTAGGACTATGTTTTAACGGGTGTCAATAACATCACAAGTGCAACGCAAAAAGTAATCGATTTTCAAGGCTGTGCTCTGACATAACCCTTAACTCTGAAAATCAAAAATGAGATTATTGAAATCTATGGAGAAAAGATTCTGAACAATGGTAGCGCCGCTCAAAAAAACACGTGACGAGTGAGAATTTAGATTAAGATACAAATTCTATAGCTGCATATTAAAAAAAGTTTTACAGTTACTGAATTGCACACTTCAGGTCTGCTCAAGGAGCCCCAAACCTAATTTTTGGCGATGAAGTTCATGGTTCTTTGACCATCGAAACGATCGAATACGATTGTGATAGTTAGGTTGTTTGGGAAACTGAGAGTTAGATGATTGAAAGAATCGCAAATCTGCACAATACCACGAAATTCTTCAACCAAACTTCTTCAAGAAGTTTTATAAGCCCGTCCGGTAGGTTGTATAAACCCCCATTCTCGAATAAAAGCTGCTGGCAGTCACGACAAATAAGGACGAAGACTCTTCCGATGTACGCAAAGGGGGCAGAACGCCTATCGATGTTGAGAAAGGAACGCACATGTGGGGAAAAAAAAGGAAATATGCGTCTCGTTTGGGAGTCGCGATCGATGCAAAGGGTGTCAGCTGTCATTAGAGCGCGAAAATCATGCCAAATCTGAAACTTTTCGAAATTTTACCTTTATCGATTAAAGCAATCAATGAACGTTAATTAAAGTAGTTACTTGGAAGGAGGTTTAAGAAGTCGTTTCTACTACTAATTTTCTTGATTGTACTGCACAATGTAACTAACCGCACATGATTGGTGTTATTCTTTCAATCCCTTGAATTGTTGCTTATAGATACTAAAGCGGTTCTTTGCCAAATCAATCAATTCACGTTTTCAATACAGGCGTGCATTTGTTGACTGGTTTCTAGTTTTCGAAATAAATATCGACTCCTTACAATTAACTTTGTTTCGTTTTACTCGAAAACGCGGGACCGGTTTTCGATTTTTTTGTGCAAACTGTACATCTCTAGAGAAAACGGGAATGATGATTTCTAACTAATGAACGGCATAGTGCAAAAGGACTTCCACTATGTGTTTTGGTAAAAAATATCTCTTCTACCTTAGACAACTGGCATAACTATGCTAAATAGTGGCATGATTAACAAATAGGCAAACATTGGTTGCGTACAACTTTAATTTCTTCATTGTGTAAGCCTAGATGGGAGTATTTTAAATCAACCGTACTGTGTCGTTTATAGATTTATCGCTATCAAGATTCCATTCGAATCAACTAATACACGTGTGGAAAAGTTGATTAGTGCGTTCACCTCCAAACATTACCGCTTTCCCTACCAGAATTCCGAAACACAGTAAATCTTCCTCTTGCACCTATTCATCTATAATCAATGAAGGTTGTTATTCTATTCCCTGCGATCCCTTTTGGCTTCAAACATTCTCTTAAAAACCGTCTCTTCATCGTAGTACGTTCACTCTTTCAGTCAGTCCGTTTCTTTTATAAAGGTTGGAGCACTGATAAATTATCTTGGAAATTTGCCTTTACATTAACTCTAAAAGGTAAGAGAATATTTTATGGCTAGTTGCACTGGACAGGCACATGGGAAAGCGGCATCTGATACTTGAGTTTCCGTATGGATCATCAGAAAGCCAGTATAAATCTCTTCGAAAAGAAAGTAAAGTCATGGTTGCAATATGTTTTGCTATGTCCTTTAAAAAAATAAACGAAGCTTTTATTACGAAACGTTAATAGTCACAGATGAAGAATGATTTTCATGATGAACAACTCAAAAATACTGGCTATTTTTTCTTCTGATTCCCCTGAAACAAAACTGCTGAGCCAGCACTTAATGCGCTAACATATGCTGATCTTAATGAATACTTACAAGACCAGAGAATACAGAGTTAAAGACGGATAAAAGGGAAAATCTTGATCCTTGCTGGTCTGGAGCTGGGGTTGTCGATTTTGGCTAAACTTCCATTATTCTCGCACATTGAAAGACTATGATATTCAACTGACCGTTCTTTGTTGAGAGATAGCAGTTTCGCAGTCGCTCGCCACACCCATTTGTTCATGGAACTGAAAAAGTAAAAAATAGTCAGCAATATCACAAATTGATAGAGAGACTTTTAGAATTTTTGTAACCGAAATTCAATTCGTTGGCATAAATCTTCATTACCGTAGGAAAATTATGCGCTTTGATTCAGTATTCATTCTCTCATTTAGAAAATTTTGAATCGCATGGGAATAGAAGAGCCTCTCACCTTTGCGTACTGCACATATGCTCGATTGAGTCGCTCTACTGGATTGCTGAGGCGAGCTTTAGGTACGAGCTCAAATATAGCTTTTGGCAATCCGTTGTCCTAAAACCAACGTTTGTGAATGCATTTTCTTAATTTTTGGTTCATTTGGAATTTCTGAAAGGTGTTACAAGAACTAGATTCCAAACTTCCCTACCTCCCTTTCGAGTGTTATCTTCAATTCCAAATCGGTATTTCCGGACTCGTTTACAATGGCCAAAACGCTGGTAATGAGCTTAACGAAATGATCGTTCATTCACAAATCATTTTTTTTTCAAATCGAAAATTAGTCGAGGATGCAGTATGTGTCCTAATTACATTAGATGAGTATCTTCACAAGCCTTACGAGCTTTGGGCCTTTTGAAGGTTGCCAAAGCAAAGTTTTGAGACTAGAATCACCTTATTACAGCATCTCAAAGCGCCATTCTAAATGCTTTTTATCAGACCTGCTTATGCCATGTTTAATACAAAGATGTTTAGGTTGGATGGGCGAGAAAGTTTATTAACAGCGACTTTTGTTAGAAGATTTAGGGTTTTTTTTGGGTGTTAATTAATTCGGATTTGTCACAAGACTTCCCCTCAAATTTCTGTATCATCAGAATGATATTTGGCATATATGCTCAAGCTGCCAAATTAAAAAGGGAGAAGCTCGAGAGAGGTCTATGGAATTCGTCTAAGAAATTTCTAAAAATTTGCGGCGTTAGTTCAAAAACCTTATGCGATTTTAAATAGTAGTCTTGTGAAACATATTAAATAAGGCTGTAAAAGAGGATTAGTTCGAAATGGAAGCTTTTTGAAGTGCTTTCAAGGGGCCGGAATGGGAAAGCAGTAAGGTGATATAAGGTCTGCTTAGTGCCCATTTCTAGATGTGTCTGCTCTTTATTCTAAACATATTTACGTCGTATAGTCTAAAGCAAAGATTTTGTCTTTATTTGTGTTCC